ACTATAATTATGTGCACGTATAAAGCGCGAAATCCCTGCCATATTAACATATACCATAGGCTCACTAACAAAGTCCACTTCGTGGAAAAACGAGAGAGTCTAGCGCGAAAAACCAGATATATGGTTTGGGTTAGGCCAACTACCTAACTCAGTACAAAATAATCGAGTTATGAATGTTGAACGACAGTATGTCGTAAAATAAGTTTAGGTGCTATATGAACTGTATAGTTCTGCATGATGATGATGATATATAAAAAAGGTTATGTTAAACATAGAGTATTAAAAATCAAGTCGTAAGCTACTCTTCTAGTTTATAACAGTTTTCTCCATTCCTTTAAACAAAGTCGGTATAGAGTTTTAGTAAAGCGGGTTCTGTACATCATACCGCTAAGTTTTATGCTAAGACTTTCTCGTGATTATACTTGATATGCCCAAGTTGAACAATTAAGCCTATAGATAATGTTGAAGACCACTAAAGATGAATATTTGGTGGTATTAAAACCAATTATGGGCAGCCCGAGAAATTATTTGATTAAAAAGCAAGTTTTTGGATTTAAAAGTTTTTAATTATTCTAATTTTTATTCAGACATTGATTTTTTATGCTGGGAAATAAAAAATTTTAGTTTATTTATTATTTTTTTGATTTAATTTTAATAATGCTTTGAACAGCAGTAATAATTTTTGGGAAATATTTTTTATATGTGAGCTGATTAATCACTTTAATCTTAAATTTACCTTAAATGTTGTTTTTGTGTAGAATAATTAAGTTATTAGTGTCAACTTTGTGATTTTAAATAGAAGTTAAGATACATTTAAATATCAAAAATTTATATGAATTTGAATTTGATTTTCTATCTGCAATTATATAAATAATTTATAACTTGTGCTAAAGATCATAAGTTTTCTCTTGAAAACAATTCTAATTCAATTTAAATAGCCTGAGGTAGGTGTTAAAATAATTGGTATTTACTGTTTAAGGTTTAAATTATTAATTGCTCTTGATTATGCACATATAAAGGATATTTTATGAGCAATTCGAAAACAATTAAACATATTCCATTTGCTAATCTTATTTATGTAAATTCATATAATGCCACACCATTCTCATATAAGTTTGTGTGTATAGTGTATACCTGCATAATGCATAATAATGATTTATTCATGCATTACATTTGAGTTTGTTAAATGGCATCCCAATTAGATGGTAGCTCCTATTGCCCCTATCACTTAAGATGTTTTGCATATTTAATTTCCCATTACAAATGAATTAGAGAAATATAGAAATTATACAAACACATATTGACCTTCTGGATGAATGAGAAACATTTGAACATATCAAGACAGAAATTATGAATTAAATTTAATTTATGATTTAATAATACAACGAGTACGTATAATTTTAGTCCAGGAAATATTAAGGATATTTACGAAGATAAATATTTTTCTAAAATCTGTAATTATTTATGTAAACATTTATGTATCGAATGTTGGTTTAGGATCCACACATGCTATTTTAAGTGAAAACAAACCTCTAAACTTAAAAATGGAATACACTACCAGTTTTAGTGAACTGTATTCTATTTAGTGTAACGCAATGAGTAGTGTACTTCTACTCAACAGCTTATTAGTACTTAATTATTTCTATATAATATAACCATAAAGTTTTGATTTAGAACCACTAAAAGACTATTAGTTTAACATGAAAATTATTATTATAATATTACAAAGTGAAATACAAAAGGTTTATCTATAACAAAATATTTGTTAATACTTCTTTTGTAAGGTAACTGAGACAAATTAGTTTCAATATCCTTATATTGTTGAATATAATCAGCTTTTATTATTAAAGAATAATTATATTTTGCAACGAGATCTTCTTAATAATGCAGTACATACTGCTCACAATGCAATTACATTTACCTGAATGCAAATTGCAACATTACCGCACTTGTAGAATATCCTTTTATTAATGCAATGTATTGCATTCTTAGTATCAAACGGATAATGTTAATCTGTGCTTTCATAAATGAGAATATAATGAATGATTTGATCTTTGCTTTTAGCTATTAAGCTATTATCCTTAGAATAATAATATTTTGTCTTATTGAAATATTTGAATTTAAGGTATTAAGCATAATAACGTGTAAAATTTTCCATAATTCCGATTATAATTGATGTATGCAAACCAATTTCTAAGAAATTTGTAAGGATTCCTGAAATCATTAGCGTATGTCTTAAATATTCCATTTACACAATGGAAGCATATTTGGATATATTGTCTCATTAAACAGTGCAAATATTAGTTGAACTCAGTCAAGCATGTGAATTTTCGCCGAAGTTGAAGCAAAGGATTCGCTTCCGTTGTGTAGTGGAAACGCTCCTGGATTTGTACATAATTTAGCAAATGTAATTACCAGTGCTGCTTCAGTTTTCTACGTATTAGGAGTTGCAACACTTGTTATATCATTCTGCATTCAACGTTGCGGTTATATCATCCTAAGTGTGTTTATGTGAATATCTGTCATAATACATATCTATATTATGCGGATAAGTATGTATTTGATTGCATACTAAGTACATGATTCCAATGATGTTTGCGCCAATGATCAATTGCTTGGAACATATTAAGCACGATTAATTAAAAATCACTTCTTTGTTGTTTTCAGTTGAAGAGTTTGCTTAGAATGTAAAGTTAACTCATTTGTATAATTTGTATCTATTGCTGTTTATGTAAAATTAGTATGCAACAGCTTGGAAGAGTCATAAAAAGTTTTTGATTGATAAAAATACTTGTATATTTTATGTTATGCAAAAGTTATGACGCTGTTATTATCATTATTATTATTATTCATTCCAACACGTTCCCAGTGGAACATTGAGCCATGTGGTCACAGTTGTGCCTAACGCATTGATTCTGTTTAAACGTGAGTTTCGCACTTTCAAATTCCTTTTGTGTGCTACCGAAACAGGTAGATTTGCCATATCAGTACGGGTACCACTTGGAGACTGTAATATCATCGGGTTTTGACTCATGTTTTATATACAGAAAAAAGAATAAGTAAAAGGAAGCAAAGCCCTTACGATGGGTTGCAAGCGCAATGTCAGTCCTGTAAGCTTTGCACGTAGTGACAGGTCACTTTTAAATAGGTCGCACCTAACCTGGAGAACAGACGCCTTTTTCAGTCGCTCAATATGAGAACCGATGCTACGTTCGACTTTACCGGCAAAGGAGGTCCTACCAGTAGCAAGCTACCGCCGGCATCGCTCGAAGATTCTTCGTAACTACTGACCGTCCTCACCACGTTAAGGTGGCAATCCAAAAAATAAATATGTGAATTTGTGTAATTACATATATTACATATATATACATATATATGAAATTACATATTTATACATATATATGAAATTACATATATATACATATATATGTAATATATGTAACATATAACATCTTTATAAATTTCTATTTTCCATGATAACCTCTATAGTAATCACAGTGAAAATATTTTCCAATACGTGGCCAGCATAGGTGTGTATTTAAAATATTTATCTTCTCATTCGATTTGTTTCTAATCGACTTTTAGTCTTTGACTTGTTAATTTTTGACTCATAAAAACATATTTTTCTTATTAGTTTTCGTCTTATTTGTCCTTGTCTAATTCGTCTTTGTCATATTTAACTTTGTCTTATTTGTCTTTGCTTTAATTGTCTTCGTTTTACTTCTCTTCGTCTTATTTGTCTTCGACTCTATAATCTTCTTTAACTTAATATTCTCTGAATTTATAGTTTTTAATTTATTAGTCTTTAACTTATTAGTTTTTAAATTATTACTCTTTAAGTTATTAGTTTCTAACTTTTAACTTAAGTTTCTAACTTTCTAACTTCATCGATTTTTTTATTAGCCTTCAACCTTTTAACATTCAACTTATTAGTTCTCTACTTGTTAATCTTCGAATATTCGTTTAAGTCTTATTTGTCTTCAATTCTAAAGTTTTCAATGTTTCAATTTTTAACTTTCAAAATTTCAATTTTCAAATCTTTAACTTATAAGTCTTCGATTAGATTATTTGTCTTCTACTGTTAGACTTTTTAGTCTTCGACTAATTTGTATTCGTCTTTCTGGTAATCGATTTGTTAGTCTTTGATTTAATATTCCTTGACTTATTAGTCCTTAACTAATTAGTTTTGATTTATTAGTCCTTGACTTATTAGTACTATTATTTAGTCCTATTAGACTTCACTTTATTTGCCTTCGACTTATTAGACTTTGACTTATTAATCTTTAACATCATCGATTTAATTATTAGTCCTTAACTTTCAAACATTTGGGTTATTAGTCTTCGTCTTGTTTGTCTGCCACATTTTAATCTTCGACATGTAAGACTTCGACTTGTTAGTTTTCGACTTGTTAGACTTCGGCTTGTTTGTCTTCGATAGGATACTCTGCGATTTATTATTCTTCGCCTTTTAAGTCTTCAATTTATTAATCTTCAAATTATTCACTAGTATTCACCTTTTTATTATTTGACTTATTAGTTTTCGACTTACTAGATTTTCTTTCTAACTTATTAGAAACAACAAATATTGAAACTTATATTCACTTTCTCAGTCATAGTTTCATTTTTATTTATTTACAGATGTTTAGAAACCCTTGTATGGATAGAATTAAATAATATAATAATTATAATAAAATAGGAAATGGAATGGATTAATTGTTTAGGTTTTTCGTTGTAATAATATTTAAATGCAACACCCAATTTTATCTGCAGTAAAAATGTATTTAAACTGTGATTTTCTAACTTTTCGAATTCTTTCCAGTGACTAATAGGCGACGCCACTGATTTATATCAAGAAAGACAGGTTTTTAGTATAAAGTAGTGCATGTAATTAATTTTTCTAACAAATTAAAAAGTCTTTAACCCAATAACAGCTATTAAGTTGAATTCACTAATTAAAGTACAACTCCATTGATAAGATAATATTAAAATATTTGCCCAAAACCCAGATATAAAAACTCGTTACTCGAATCCATTTTCAGTCATTTTGTTAAAATGTCGAATAAAAACTTTGGTGTCTTAATAATTACCTTGCTGGTATTTTGCGCAGTTCTTGGAGTCAATTCACATAACGATACTCCGGGACAGGTAAATTTTATTTCACCTGCAACCTTAAAATCAAATGGTTTTTGATTGAATTCATTTCAGTTACCAACGAATTGTGCTGAAGCATTAAGAAATTATAAAAATAGTGGCATCTATCAAATTTATATACCAAAATCAGGACTTAAGCCATTTTACGTATACTGTCTGAGAGATCCAAACAATGGTCCCGGTTGGACAATTGTCAACAGACGTCAAGATGGTTCTATAAATTTCAATCGTAATTGGATTGACTATAAAGTCGGTTTTGGTAATCTGGAAGGTGAATACTTTATTGGATTGGAGAAGTTATATGCATTGACAAATAATGGAATTCAGGAATTATGGTTTCAGTTGGAGGATTTTGAAAATGAAACCCGTTCGGCATTTTATAGCAGTTTTGCTATTGATGATGAGAGCTCGAAATACTCATTAAGTATGGTTGGTAAATATTTCGGCAATGCAGGAGACTCTTTTACTGTTCACGCTGGTGCAAAGTTTTCAACAAAAGATAATGATAATGATACTTGGGATGGAAATTGTGCGGATCACTATACAGGCCCCTGGTGGCACAAAGCCTGTCATCAAAGGTGCAGTAATTATTTAAATAAATTATTTACCGCATATGTACACGAAATTAAGTTTTTTTTAAAGTTATATGGCATACCAATTCATATATTGCTGTGATATATTCCAGTAATATTTTGGAGCATAAACTATTAATATGAATGATTGTCATAGTACTACAATAGAGTTTCGTACTAATCTAATGGCTTAATATTTATATAATACAAAAAATAATTTAAGTTTTATATGTAATAATTTTTTTTGCAGCAATATGTTTGGACAGTATTTACGTGGATCGTACTCTAACGATAAATACGCACAAGGTGTTAACTGGAATGCTTGGCACGGCTTTTACTATTCACTCAAATACACTCACATGGCAATACGCCCTGTTCGCATATAAATTCATTGGCCATGCGAGTGGAACAGATGTTAAGAACCAACAAATAGTCATTTAATGTTCTAAAAAAAATGGAAAATAAAAGTAAATTTTTTCTGTATTATTGTAAAAAAGAATTAGTTACTTCTTTTATTTACTGAAAACCAATTTTTGAAGGATTTATTTAAACGCTTAACTACTTGCGATACTAAGCCAGTAACAAACACATGAACGATATGTAGAGGACAGTATCCATATTTTTTATGATAATAAAGCTGCATTGAATATATTAATAAATTGAGATAAAAAACAGTGGAAACAGTGGAAACAATGGAAGAAATTTTAAATATTCTGAAGAGGAAGGTATAGAGAAGGTATAAGTACAGCAATAAGGAAATAAAGAAATAAATATGTAATAAGCTGTCTTAATCAGGCTAAAGTCGGTTAGAGCAGATACAAAAAATTAACAGTTATTATTATATATAACTATAGTTACAATATCATGAAATGAGTTTTTCTAGAAAGTGAGTTGGAACAAATGCAAAGAAATAATTTCATTTTCACACAGTGTATATAAAGCAATACAAACATAAGTAGGAATAAGTGGGTCCTAAAAAATAAAAAAAAAAATAATTCATGTGTGAATATAATATTTATTACAATCTATATTTATTAGAGTAACCACTTTAAAAATATATCTTAAAAGAGTTTCTGCACCATCTCTTGCAAGGCAATGAAGTTTTAACATCTACTGGCTGATCTATGTTAATATACGCAATTTGATAAATCAATATAATTAGAAGAAATTGTTAAAATATCTGAACCGAAAGATAATTCTGTATACATGGACTCATATAGATTCAGGTAACTTAAAGTTTTTTAAAAAAATATATTTTATTCGTTTCCTATCGTTAATAATTCAAATCTTATTCCAAACTTTCAGTTGGAATTAAAAAGAACAATCTTTGTAATAAAAGAAAGGACAGAAGGTAACAATAATGCAGTCGTGACCAAAGTTGATCAGTGAGTACGCACTCAACATATATAGGATTGGCAATTTACTTTTTACGTGTCAAAAGTCTCAATTTAAATTCTTTAATTTAGAATAATTTAAACATTTCTGATAACAGTCGATCCCGTCTGCTGTTAAATTTTTTATTATATTTATACGTCCGGGTTTCAATTCCTTACTTTACGTTGACTATTTCGTTAGCCGTTAAATATTTATTGCCTCTTTCTTTTTTAAACAAGTTATCGAATATCTTTGCTCATTTTTTTTCATCATAAATTGTGATTTAAGAAAGAGGTGTCAGTTTGGGAATATTCGACGTAAAGAACCAAAAACTAAGACGACGAAAGACTTCTGTTGTAGTATTAATATGTGAGGAGTGCAATATAATTAAAAAAATACCCATACTACCTCAACAATCAGGTCAAGGGGTGCATAGCCACTCTACTCCAAATACAGAACCTCTGACCTAATACACATAAGCAAACCAAAGTTATTTACGTTAATAATTGTCTTCAAAGGGCACTGAACCATAAGATCGCATGGAGTTACACTCAGCTACCCTGTGGTATCTATTACAACGCATGTCTATTAACTCTTGAAGAGAGGACGCCAGAATATCTGTTGTGTCTATTTCCAGACCTGACCAGAACTAGGCTTACGTTTTGGGGCTCCCTTCTTTAACACACTAAGCGATGTCTTTAGTATTACCATTGGCCAGACTCTTGACTTTATAAATGCTTTTGACTGGTACTAGTTTGACCTTTTTCTACACATTAATACGAGGAATTGTAGATTCAACACGGTTTTAGTAGCCAATTGACATTCCTCCCTCCACTTTAACTAACTAACTACATCATAGTTGGTTTATCGGTGTTTTTATGTAGACATCACTTTCATAAGGTAGTTATTGCCAAAATAGAAGAGTTTTATGTTGACGATTGGTGAAAATTCAAGTCGTGATAACTGTCTAATAAAAATTGTACTGAAAAAATTAAAATATATAAATAATTATTAATTTAGTAGTATTTTTCAAATATTTTGATAAAAAATTAGTACTTTTTCTATCACTCGGATTATTTATTTAATACTTACCGCGTTTAAAATTAAATAAATTTTTTATCAAGTTATATATTAAAAATTAAAATAACAATTAAATAGTATAATATAATAAATACTAATAAATAGAGTAACAAACAGCTCAGATATTAAGGATTGAGGTAACGACTTATTCAGTGTATTATATATTTAATATTTTCAGATGAAATATTTTTTTATTAACTTATGAATATTTAATTCATGGAGTAAGCATTAAACTAAAAATACAAAAATTGTTAGTCTTGATTTCTATAGGGCACTTTATAGACACTACTCTTTATTTATAACCGACTTATCGATACCTAGGACGCTACTGATTCATATCTATAAAAATAGCTTTTCCTACAAATTGGGGTATTAATGATGAAAACTCAAAATACGAACTTAATGTATTGGGTAAATATTCCGGTAACGCAGGAGACAGCTTCACTGCTCACGCTGGTGCGAAGTTCTCAACAAAGGATAACGATAATGATACTTGGGATAAAAGTTGTGCACAAACCTACACCGGAGTTTGGTGGTACAAGACCTGCCATAAAAGGTATATAAAAAAAGCCTTAATAATTGCCTACATATAAGGCTTTTAAAATAAATATGTATGATTTGTTTATGAAATGCAATTAATTTCTGTATGATGTGTAGAAGTGATTACTATATAAAGTATGTAGGCTTCAAAATGTTTCAGTCGTTTTTTGATGTGTAGTTAATACATAAAAGTACTGGAAAAATTTTATACATTAAGGAATTTATTTGTTTTCAGTAACTTAAATGGGCAGTATTTACGCGGACCGTACCCTAAAGATAAATTTGCACAAGGTGTTAACTGGTTTGATTGGCATGACTATTATTACTCCTTAAAGTATACTCACATGGCAATTCGTCCTATTAGCCGATGAGTTCTATACTTATAAAACCATTTGTTAAGAATAAATAAATTGTCATTTATAATATTGTTACGAATTTCATCAGAGTAGCAATGAAATGTTTAAATATTATTTAAACATTACGTCAATTGATATTTTTAAAAAAAAAGTTAGTTTGGAAAATTGTTTGGTGTGAAGCTGTGTTTTTATTAAATTGACTCCTAATAAATACTAGTTCTTTGTATTACACAAAATATATAAGTAAGTTTCTCCAACCCTAATAATTCGTTTCATTTTTTACAAAATCCTGAGATACGAATAATCACGCAGGCGATTACGTAACAATATGTACAGTATAGAATCATATATATGTAGTATATAAATATATATTAGTCCTATTAGTCCTAGTGAACGGACGTATTTTTAAGCCGGTCTTGGTGAATTTTAAATTGCAGTTTAAAACAAGTAGATAACACGTATTTTTTTTGGGAATTGTTTTGCTATTGACACAAAAACACAATTATTATTTAATAATAAAACAAACTAAAAAGTAACTACATAAAACATTAAATTGAAAATAGTGCGCGTTATTTCAATTTTCGTTGATTTTCTCTTTGCAAAACTTTATAAAAATACTCAAACAGCTGACAGGGACAACAGATTAATTTCTAAAGTTCAATATAAAAACGCGGTTAATTCTGTTGTGTTGTTTTTTCACACATGTAAACAGCTGATAGAGACAGCATTAAATTCTTAAGTGCGTATAGTGTTGTAAAACAATTAATCTGTCACACATTTTTTAAAAAATTTCATATTGTGTAATTGTGTAATTTCAAATAGTCTAATACTGTTAATATGAAAGAGTGTCACAAGTGTCGTGGAGGTATCCGCGGTGAAACTGGGTTAATATGTTCAGGTGTGTGCGGCAAGGCATTTCACACAGCTACCAAATGTTCTGGTGTAGAGCAATTTAATATTAATTGCTTAAATAATCCTATGATTCATTTCATGTGCGAAGACTGTGTTCAATATGTTCACAATGTTGATTTTGCACTTAGGGAAATAAATGAAAATGTGGGAAAAAATAATAATTATCTTAAAGAATATAAAAACGAATTTAAAGACGCATTGAAAGTTAATGAAAATGAACTTAAGTGTTTATTAAAATCTATCGAGGCTAAATACTCTGATAGAATCAATGCTCTGAAGAAAGTTCAAGAAGCATACGTAAATAAATTTACGGCACTTGAAGAAAAAATGTTAAATTTGTCGAATAATTTAAAAAAAGATAATGAATTATTGTGTTCTGAATTATTAAAAAAATTTAATAAAAGTGAAGATAAGAAAGAATCTTATGCAGAAAAACTTAAATCGAGTAATACATCTACTGTACCTATTACAGTGAAACCTATAAGGAAACAGTTAGGTGATGACACTAAAAAAGACTTAAAAATGAAAATTAATCCGTCTGAACTTAACGTGAAGGTTAATGGTTTTCGAGCTAAAAATGATGGCAGGGTTACTATTAAATGTGTTACTTCAAAGGAACGTGAAATTCTTGCAAATGACATTAAAAAAAAATTAAGTGACCAATATATAATCGAAACACCTGCGCTTCGACACCCCAAATTATTCATCTCGGGTATTAGTGAAAAGCTAGAAAATGAGGACCTAGTACTTGCCATAAAAAATCAGAATAATATTATAGTTCAACATATTAAAGTGTTAAAAGTCTATGAGTCTTATAAAAATAAAAAAACATTTAATGCGATTGTTGAAATAGATGGCAAAGCTTTTAAGCAATTTATGAAAGAACGTCGAATCAACATCAAATGGGATAGATGCATAATATATGAAAGTTTAAACGTAATGAGGTGCTATAAGTGCTGGGGCTTTAACCATAAGGCGAGTGTATGCAAAGAAAATGACCATGTTTGTGCTAAATGCAGTGAAGTGGGGCATTCACATAAGGAGTGCAAAAGCGATATTGTCAAATGCGTTAATTGTGTTAAAGCTAAAAAGTTGCTGAATCTCCATGATCTTTCCACTGATCACGACTCTAGGAATGTGATATGTAAGATCTTACAACGCAGAACAAGACAGGAAGCTGAAAATATTAACTACTAAATATGCAGGATCACAAAACACTTATCAATATTTTTTCGAGTCAACGGTGTGGTGTTAATATGGTTCATTTTAATGCAAGAAGCCTCTCTGGCCTTAAATTAGATTATGTTAGAAGTGTTTTTGAAGGCTCCAAAGTTGATGTCATTTGTGTTTCCGAGACTTGGTTTGATCATAACATAAGCAGCGTTTTTTTTTCCTTGAACGGTTTTGATTTATTTAGACATGACAGGAAACATAGATTAGGTGGCGGAGTGGCTATTTTCTGTAAGTCACATTTAAAAGGTCAATTAGTGTCTGTCTCAATGGAAACTGAAATTGAACACATTAGCGTGCGTGTACTTGCTGGCAACTACAAAATTTTAGTTACTTGTGCCTATAACCCTAACAAAATATTTTCCTGCGATCCTCTCTTTGATTCTCTTCTACCTATTGCCGTTAAGTTTGATTTTCTTGCAGTATTCGGCGATTTCAATATTGATTTCCTGTTAAATTCTGCTAAAGCAGCTAAATTAAATGACCTTATGACTATGACGGGTTTAAGTGTTGAAAATAACTCCATGCCTACTAGGTTTAGCAACAATGTACGACCTAGTCTTCTTGATTTAGTTGCTGTCTCTGACTTGAGTAAAGTTTTGTTTTTCGAGCAGATTTCGTTTGTGTCTGATCCTGACTTATTATTTGTGACTTTTGATTATAATGCGACTAAAACATTTACTCCTACACAATTCTCTTTTTGGGACTTCAAGTCTATTGATACTCGGAGATTGTTCAGTGAACTGAATTCTGTTGACTGGAGTGGTTGTTGGTTTAGTGCATCAGTAGATGAAAAATTGGGAGTCTTTAATAACATATTGTCAGATTTTTTACATCGTTTTGTGCCGTATCGTACAGTATGTGCAAAAAATTCGTCTTGTCCTTGGTTTAAGCCTTATATTAAACGAAAAATTAACTATAGAAATAAAAAATATGCTGTTTGGAAGAAATATCCCACGGCACTCAATTGGATGCGATTTAAAGTGGCTAGGAATTTAGCTTCTGCGGCTATTTATAAAGCCAAATTAATGTTCTTTAAATCCAAACTTGGAGGTCGTCAGCAAACAAAATCTCTCTGGAATAATATTAAATCTTTAGGAATTATAAAAAAATCCACAGCTGTGTGCTCCTTAGATCCCAATAACCTAAATGATTATTTTGTTTCGTCTGTTGGTAGTAGATTGAGCGTCAATCCTGCTTTCCCTTGTCTTGAACATGCCGGCTCTGAGAGTATATTTAGTTTCGAGTGTGTTAGTGAAGAAGTAGTTTTCAATAGTGTAATGAAAATTAACTCAAATGCAATTGGTATTGATAAAATTCCTTTGAAGTTCTTAAAACTCACTCTTCAGTCAATTATTTCTCCTCTGACACATATAATGAATCACTGTTTTGCTTCTTCAACATTTCCTAATACATGGAAACTTGCAAAAATTATTCCAATTGAAAAAAAGTCAAATGCATCCCTATGCTCTGACTTTCGCCCAATTAGCATTCTTTCCTCGCTCTCGAAGGTGTGTGAAAATATCATGGCTAACGCTATTCGTTGTCACCTAGATCGTTTTCAGCTTCTTTCCCCTTTGCAATCTGGGTTTAGAAAAGGTCATAGCTGCACGACTGCTATGTTGAAAGTACTTGAGGATGTTCGAATCAGCTATGATCAAAACTTGATTACATATCTATGTCTACTTGATTTCTCCAAGGCTTTTGACCGCGTTGATCATTCTTTGCTTTGCAAAAAACTTGTCAACTCCTTCTTATTTTCTAAGTCGGCGGCAAAATTTATCTTTAGCTATTTAAGTGGAAGGTCGCAGTCTGTTGTGGTATCGAATGAGTTCTCGACTTTTAAAAATCTTCACACTGGAGTTCCTCAAGGGTCAATCCTGGGTCCCCTTTTGTTTTCAATGTATATAAATGATGTCTTTTCAATTTGTAAGTATACTATATTGCATGGGTATGCTGATGACATCCAAATGTACATTTCTTGTGATTTCACCACTATTGGTAATCTAATTCAAAAGATAAATGTTGATTTAAATAATATTAACACTTGGGCCGTTGAAAATAACATGCTACTTAATGCCAAAAAAACAACTATTTTGCCAATAAGTAGGTTAAAACTGGATGTAAATAGTTTGCCTCAAGCGTCTATTGGGCAATCCTTTATTGAATACAATACTTCTGTAAAGTGTTTAGGTTTCCATCTAAATACTAACTTACATGCTTGTGACCACATCAATCAAGTTGTTAGGAAAGTATACACTTGCCTCAGATGTCTTAATCTATCAGCGAGATTTACCCCTGTTGCTACTCGCTGCTTGTTGGTAAAACAGTTAATAATTCCTATTATTATGTTTTCCTCGTTAGTTTATTCCAAATTAGACGCGGTGTCTCTTACTAAGTTAAGAAGTCTAACCAATTCAATGACACGATATGTTTACGGTCTCAGAAGATTTGATCACCTGGGTAATTCCAGGAATGCAATCTTAGGTTGTGACATTGAACAGTTTATTAAGATTCGTGTCTGTCTGTTTTTGTTTAAATTGATTAATGCTAAATCACCTGAATACCTTTTCAATTGTCTGAAACGAACACGATCTAATAGATCTCTTCTATTTATTATTCCAAGGTTTAACTTTATTTCCACAACAAGTTTTTTCTTTATCCACTCTGTCAGAGTATGGAATTCGCTCTCATGTGAAACCAGAAACACAACAAGAGTAGGAGCTTTTAAAAAACTGCTAGTTAATGAATTATATTGACACCACCCGTTCTGTCAGTTATTTCTATTTGTTAATTGATAATTTTCTTTAATTGTCATTTTTTAACTTTCTGCTTGTAATGTTTATTTTTCTATTCTAAATTTTTAAATTTTTAATCTTAAATTTAAAAAATTTTTTTTTGTATTCTTTAATTTAATTTAATTTTTAATTTAATTTAATTTTTAATTTAATATTTTTTTTTAATTCAATCTCTTGCCTTTGCTTTATCATCTAATAATTTGTAAATTGTTATATATTAAGTAAATAATATCTCTTTTTTATCTCTTTTTTTGTTAGTTTTTAAGTTAGTTATAAGATGATGCAATGTAAGGGTTTTTTGACCCTTAAAGCATTTAAAATAAAATAAATAAAATAAATAAAATAACATATAAAAATAATATATATAATACATGTAGATATAAATAAAGTAACAAGTTACTAACTGGCACTGCTATATGGAATACATAAAAATATTCTCCTAATATAAGAAGTATGGGCATATACTGTATCATTAAGCACTATGAGTATTTAAGCAAGTATAAAAATTTTAAAACAACTCGAAGTGATTAGTTGAGTATATTATGGCTTAATTCATAGTCGGCAATGTTAGCGATGAGGATGCCGCTCCTAATTCTTTTCAGTTACTCATATAGGCAATGCCATTGATTTATATCAAGAAAGACAGGTTTTTAGTATAAAGAAGTGCATGTAATTAATTTTTCTAACAAATTAAAAAGTCTTTAACCCAGTAACAGCTATTAATTTGAATTCACTAATTAAAGTACAACTCCATTGATAAGATAATATTAAAATATTTGCCCAAAACCCAGATATAAAAACTCGTTACTCGAATCCATTTTCAGTCATTTTGTTAAAATGTCAAATAAAAACTTTGGTGTCTTAATAATTACCTTGCTGGTATTTTGCGCAGTTCTTGGAGTCAATTCACATAACGATAATCCGGGACAGGTAAATTTTATTTCAACTGCAACCTTAAAATCAAATGGTTTTTGATTGAATTCATTTCAGTTACCAACGAATTGTGCTGAAGCATTAAGAAATTATAAAAATAGTGGCATCTACCAAATTTATATACCAAAATCAGGACTTAAGCCATTTTACGTATACTGTCTGCGAGATCCAAACAATGGTCCCGGGTGGACAATTATTCAAAGGCGTCAGGATGGTGCTATAAACTTCTTTCGCAAATGGATTGATTATAAATTAGGTTTCGGTAATCTGGAGGGCGAATACTTTATTGGTTTAGAGAAATTACATGCTATGACAAATAATGGAATTCAGGAATTATGGTTTCAATTAGAAGATTTTGCGAATGAAACTCGTACTGCATATTATAGTAGTTTTGCTATTGATGATGAGAGTACGAAATACTCATTAAGTATGGTTGGTAAATATTCTGGCAATGCAGGAGACTCTTTTACTGTTCACGCTGGTGCAAAGTTTTCAACAAGTGATAGCGATAATGATGACTGGGAGAGAAATTGTGCAGATCAATATAAAGGCGCCTGGTGGTATAAAGCCTGCCAACAAAGGTAATATTTTTAATATTAGTAAATAGGTTTCGATACATTTTAGTAGTTCATGGATATATAATAAAAGTGATAGGAACGATAGTGGTAAAGTAGCGAAATGTTACAGTGATTGAACTGCTGTCCTTTATTTGCAATTAAATATAGCTTTGCCTGTGGAGGAATGTTAAGGAATTACATAAACGAATTGGTAGTCTCGTTCTTAAAATTAAAGTACATTTAGAAAAGTGGAACTATTTAATATGTTGTGATTTAAATCAAATAAGAGAAGTACCACATATGGAGGCCAGTTAAACAATATATGTAAATAAAACTCTTTATTTCACTTTAAGTGAATAAAATCAAGTCATAAATCTAAATCACATAAATAACATATAAATAATAAACCTCATAAAGGAGGTTCTTAACCTCCTTGACTTCCATATATACTCTACATATTATACATATATAAATTACTTTACTTACAGCCATTTGAATGGACTGTATTTACGAGGAGAGTATGGAAAAGATAAAACTGGACAAGGTGTTAATTGGTTTGCTTGGCATGGTTATTTTTATTCCCTCAAATATACTCACATGGCAATTCGTTCTGTTCGCAGTTGATTTCTTCACTCAAAGAACAATTATTAAAAATCAATAAAATGTCATTCTAAACATTCTGAGTATTATTAACAATAATAATAAATTCTTTGTTTTATTTTAAAACTTAACTTTAAAACTTTTTAGAAGAAGAGTATATATATACTTTTAGGCATAATAAAACTGCAATTAAAGTATTAATAAGTTTAAGTAATTAAGAAATAAAAAAAAAGATTAATTGTGTCAGCGGACTCAATACAATGGTTTCTGAGATATAAAAAAAAAAACATTGCTTAAATCTAAAAATTGTAATCCAAGGAGGCCACTTATAAACTTATCTTTTAAACGAAATGTAAGTCCACATTAAGAAAGACACTAGAGATGGAGGTTACTTCTTAGGATTAAGATAACTTTCATATATATCCAAGAGTAAATATTATAAGCATTATTTCTCGATTTCTTCAACTTGCTGTGTTATATGAGTAACTGAGAAAGTGAGTAATATGAGTAAAGTAATAAAATAATTTCTTCTCACGTTCCTTAAAAATATAATACATTCATTGTCTGATTCTGATATAGGACTCCACAAAGCATTTATATATGAGTACTATGTTTATATAATGTTCGAAGAGGTCTACGTTGCGGAATTGTCTACAGTAATGTTTAAAGGAACGAGTAAGTTAGACTTTCTAATTAATAGCTCTTGTAAATGGTAATTAAAGTGCAAAATATAAAAGTTATTGTGAGTCATCTACTGGCTGAAATAATATTTTCATAGTTAACATAAGTTATAAGAAGTACAAAATGCTGTTCAGTTTTATCATCTGAAAACTGAGCTATTTATATACTTGTTTTAACAGCGCATATCTCATTTATGTAGCCAATTTTTTTAAAGAAGACGAGTTCTAATAAAAAAAAAACCTAATTATATTTATCGTAGTTTAAGAGTATTTGCTTTAGGTAATAAATATTTTTCAAATGTTCTAAAGAAAAATACCGCAGCCAAAGAAATTTTGGTATCTAAAAGTTGAATATTTTGTTGTCTTGCATTGCTTCTCCTTCTACCCAAAAGCTACAACCGAAATTATATTAAAACTTCTCTAGTAAAATTTGATATGCCGGCGTACCGATATCTCGAGGTGGATACTTTACAAAACGCATGATTTTTTCTGGGAAACTAAATTTGACTGCAGGAATTTTCGTTATTTATAAATAGTTGGACTTTATATTGCTATAAAAAATAGTATATATAATAAAAAATAATATATATATATTATCGGACCTATTCTGTGCACTTGACAAATTTGTCAAATTCTTTAATAAAATTTTTGATTTTTATAAAGCAGAAAGCTTTTTGGTATTCTGGACACATCTGGACAAATTTCAAAGCTTTAGTACCATACCTAATGCTTCTCACCACACTATGGTATAAAGTGTTTTGTATATAAAACTGTTCGTAACTGTTCGTAATTGTTCGTAATTGTTCGTAACTGTTCGTAAAAATGCTTGTAAACAGCATATATTTTAAGTTGTCAAAAGCGTTTTTCATGCATTCAAAAACAAATAAAAAATATGCTTGTAAAGAACGTATATTTTAGTTAAGAATATTTGTCATGCATGCAAATAATAAAAAATGCTTAAAAAGAGCATATTTTTATAGTTGTCAACAGAATTTGAGGTATTGACAACTAACAAGGAAAAGAGCTTTTTATTTATGTCACTGAATACCAAAACCTTTACAGCAGTCAATTTTGACAAGTGTCAATGTTTGACAAGTTTATAAAGTGCACAGAATAGGTCCGTATATATATATAAAAGTTCAACTGTATTTATTATATGCTTACGTGATAACAAAAAAAAAAAAATTAAGACGATCTTCATTTCAAAAATTTTATTGTTAATTTAGTATATTATTATCTTATTTTTATTTATTAGTTTAAGTACAAACAAGTACATAGTTATAAAAATATAGAAAGATTTTCTCACGCTCCAATACCACAGCAAAAAGAAACTAAGATAAAGATTTGTTTAGTCTCATCAGATGTAATCTATTCGTAGAGGTTTCGTAGTATAAATGAGTTTCAACTTAAGATAGAAAACAACAATAGTTATGGAATTTCTATACTCTCGTGTGTTTGAAAAAAGTTAATATTTATTTATTACCCACTTAAAGAAAATCGGGTCATAAAATCACATCTTCTCTGAAATAAAGAACAGTAATTATAAAGTAATTAATTGATAAGATAATATAAAAAAATTTTTCCAAGATTTTTATATAAAAACTCGTTACTCAAATCCATTTGTAGTAATTTGGTTAAAATGTCCAAAAAGAACTATAGCATCATAATAATTTCTTTATTCGTTTTTTGCACAGTTATAAGAGCCAATTCGCACAACTATAGTCCGAGTGGTGTAAGATATATTACTACTACACCTATAAAATCGAAGAGATTTTTATTTTATTACCTTTAGTTACCAACAAGCTGTGCTGAAGTATTAATACATTTTAAAAACGGCATTTATCAACTTCATTTACCTAAATCAGGACTTAAGCCATTTTACGTATACTGCTTAAAAGATCCAAACAATGGTCCAGGTTGGACAATTGTCAGCAGACGTCAAGATGGATCTATAAATTTCAATCGTAATTGGATTGATTATAAAGTCGGTTTTGGTAATCTGGAAGGTGAATACTTTATTGGATTGGAGAAGTTACATGCATTGACAAATAACGGTGTTCAGGAATTATGGTTTCAGTTGGAAGATTTTGAAAATGAAACCCGTTCGGCATTTTACAGCAGTTTTGCTATTGATGATGAGAGTTCGAAATACTCATTAAATATGGTTGGTAAATATTCTGGCAATGCAGGAGAATCTTTTATTGTTCACGCTGGTGCAAAGTTTTCAACAAAAGATAATGATAATGATGATTGGGATAGAAATTGTGCGGATCACTATACAGGCCCCTGGTGGCATAAAGCCTGTCATCAAAGGTGCAGTAATTATTTAAATAAATTATTTACAGCATATGTACACGAAATAAAGTTTTTTTTAAAGTTATATGGCATACCAATTCATGTATTGCTGTGATATATTCCAGTAATGTTTTGGCGCATAAACTATTAATATGATTGATTGTCATAGTACTACAATAGAGTTTTGTACTAATCTAATGGCTTATATAAACAAAAAATAATATAAGTTTTATATGTAATAATTTTTTTTGCAGCAATATGTTTGGACGGTACTTACGTGGATCGTACGGACACGATCAATACGCACAAGGTATTAACTGGTTTAAATGGCGCGGCTTTCACTATTCACTCAAATACACTCACATGGCAATACGCCCTGTTCGCATATAAATTTTTTGGCCATGCGAGTGGAACAGATGTTAAGAACCAGTTGTTAATAGACATTTAATGTTTTTTAAAAATGGAAAATAAAAGTAAATTTTTTCTGTATTATTCTAAAAAAAGAATTAGTTACTTCTTTTATTTATTGAAAACCAATTTTTGAAGGATATATTTAAACGCGATATGTAGAGGACAGTATCTATATTTTTTATGATAATAAAGCTGCATTGAATATATTAATAAATTGAGATAAAAAACAGTGGAAACAGTGGAAACAATGGAAGAAATTTTAAATATTCTGAAGAGGAAGGTATAGAGAAGGTATAAGTACAGCAATAAGGAAATAAAGAAATAAATATGTAATAAGCTGTCTTAATCAGGCTAAAGTCTGTTAGAGCAGATACAAAAAATTAACAGTTATTATTATATATAACTATAATTACAATATCATGAAATGAGTTTTTCTAGAAAGTAAGTTGAAACAAATGCAAAGAAATAATAATTTAATTTTCACACAATGTATATAAAGCAATACAAACATAAGTAGGTATAAGTGGGTCCTAAAAAATAAAAAAAAAAGACATAATTCATGTGTGAATATAATATTTATTACAATCTATATTTATTAGAGTAACCACTTTAAAAATATATCTTAAAAGAGTTTCTGCACCATCTCTTGCAAGGCAATGAAGTTTTAACATCTACTGGCTGATCTATGTTAATATACGCAATTTGATAAATCAATATAATTAGAAGAAATTGTTAAAATATCTGAACCGAAAGATAATTCTGTATACATGGACTCATATAGATTCAGGTAACTTAAAGTTTTTTAAAAAAATATATTTTATTCGTTTCCTATCGTTAATAATTCAAATCTTATTCCAAACTTTCAGTTGGAATTAAAAAGAACAATCTTTGTAATAAAAGAAAGGACAGAAGGTAACAATAATGCAGTCGTGACCAAAGTTGATCAGTGAGTACGCACTCAACATATATAGGATTGGCAATTTACTTTTTACGTGTCAAAAGTCTCAATTTAAATTCTTTAATTTAGAATAATTTAAACATTTCTGATAACAGTCGATCCCGTCTGCTGTTAAATTTTTTATTATATTTATACGTCCGGGTTTCAATTCCTTACTTTACGTTGACTATTTCGTTAGCCGTTAAATATTTATTGCCTCTTTCTTTTTTAAACAAGTTATCGAATATCTTTGCTCATTTTTTTTCATCATAAATTGTGATTTAAGAAAGAGGTGTCAGTTTGGGAATATTCTACGTAAAGAACCAAAAACTAAGACGACGAAAGACTTCTGTTGTAGTATTAATATGTGAGGAGTGCAATATAATTAAAAAAATACCCATACTACCTCAACAATCAGGTCAAGGGGTGCATAGCCAATCTACTCCAAATACAGAACCTCTGACCTAATACACATGAGCAAACCAAAGTTATTTACGTTAATATTTGTCTTCAAAGGGCACTGAACCATAAGATCGCATGGAGTTAGACTCAGCCTACCCTGTGGTATCTATTACAACGCATGTCTATCAACTTTCAAAAAAAGGACGTAAGAATACATGTTGTGTCTATTTACAGGCCAGACTCTTGCTTTTATAAATATTTCTGACTGGTACTCTACTTTAACTAACTAACTAAATCATAGTAGTTTTATCGATGTTTTTATGTACACATCACTTTCATAAGGTAGTTATTGCCAAAATAGAAAAGTTTTATGTTGACGATTGGTGAAAATTCAAGTCGTGATAACTGTCTAATAAAAATTGTACTGAAAAAATTAAAATATATAAATAATTATTAATTTAGTAGTATTTTTCAAATATTTTGATAAAAAATTAGTACTTTTTCTATCACTTAGATTATTTATTTAATACTTACCGCGTTTAAAATTAAATAAATTTTTTATCAACTTATATATTAAAAATTACAATAACTAATAAATAGTATAATATAATAAATACTAAGAAATAGAGTAACAAACAGCTCAGATATTAAGGATTGAGGTAACGACTTATTCAGTGTATTATATATTTAATATTTTCAGATAAAAAATTTTTTTATTAACTTATAAATATTTAAGTCATGGAGTAAGCATTAAACTAAAAATACAAAAATTGTTAGTCTTGATTTCTATTAGGGCACTTTATAGACACTATTCTTTATTTATAACCGACTTATCGATACCTAGGACGCTACTGATTCATATCAATAAAAAAAGGTTTTCCTTCAAATTGGGGTATTAATGATGAAAACTCAAAATACGAACTTATTGTATTGGGTAAATATTCCGGTAACGCAGGAGACAGTTTCACTGCTCACGCTGGTGCGAAGTTCTCAACAAAGGATAACGATAATGATACTTGGGATAAAAGTTGTGCACAAACCTATACCGGAGCTTGGTGGTACAAGACCTGCCATAAAAGGTATATAAAAAAAAGCCTTAATAATTGCCTACATATAAGGCTTTTAAAAGAAATATACCATATATGATTTGTTTATGAAGCGCAATCAATTTCTGTATGATGTGTAGATGTGATTACTATATAAAGTATGTAGGCTTCAAAATGTTTCAGTCGTTTTTTGATGTGTAACCGTTTTTTGATGTGTAAAGTACTGGAAATATTTTATACATTAATGAATTTATTTGTTTTCAGTAACTTAAATGGGCAGTATTTACGCGGACCGTACCCTAAAGATAAATTTGCACAAGGTGTTAACTGGTTTGATTGGCATGACTATTACTACTCCTTAAAGTATACTCACATTGCAATTCGTCCTATTAGCAGATGAGTTCTATACTTATAAAACCATTTGTTAAGAATAAATAAATTGTCATTTATAATATAGTACAGTATAGAATCATATATATGTAGTATATAAATATATATAACATATAAAAATAATATATATAATACATGTAAATATAAATAAAGTAACAAGTTACTAACTGGCACTGCTATATGGAATACATAAAAATATTCTCCTAATATAAGAAGTATGGGCATATACTGTATCATTAAGCACTATGAGTATTTAAGCAAGTATAAAAATTTTAAAACAACTCGAAGTGATTAGTTGAGTATATTATGGCTTAATTCATAGTCGGCAATGTTAGCGATGAGGATGCCGCTCCTAATTCTTTTCAGTTACTCATATAGGCAATGCCATTGATTTATATCAAGAAAGACAGGTTTTTAGTATAAAGAAGTGCATGTAATTAATTTTTCTAACAAATTAAAAAGTCTTTAACCCAGTAACAGCTATTAATTTGAATTCACTAATTAAAGTACAACTCCATTGATAAGATAATATTAAAATATTTGCCCAAAACCCAGATATAAAAACTCGTTACTCGAATCCATTTTCAGTCATTTTGTTAAAATGTCAAATAAAAACTTTGGTGTCTTAATAATTACCTTGCTGGTATTTTGCGCAGTTCTTGGAGTCAATTCACATAACGATAATCCGGGACAGGTAAATTTTATTTCAACTGCAACCTTAAAATCAAATGGTTTTTGATTGAATTCATTTCAGTTACCAACGAATTGTGCTGAAGCATTAAGAAATTATAAAAATAGTGGCATCTACCAAATTTATATACCAAAATCAGGACTTAAGCCATTTTACGTATACTGTCTGCGAGATCCAAACAATGGTCCCGGGTGGACAATTATTCAAAGGCGTCAGGATGGTGCTATAAACTTCTTTCGCAAATGGATTGATTATAAATTAGGTTTCGGTAATCTGGAGGGCGAATACTTTATTGGATTAGAGAAATTACATGCTATGACAAATAATGGAATTCAGGAATTATGGTTTCAATTAGAAGATTTTGCGAATGAAACTCGTACTGCATATTATAGTAGTTTTGCTATTGATGATGAGAGTGCGAAATACTCATTAAGTATGGTTGGTAAATATTCTGGCAATGCAGGAGACTCTTTTACTGTTCACGCTGGTGCAAAGTTCTCATCATATTTATCGTAGTTTAAGAGTATTTGCTTTAGGTAATAAATATTTTTCCAATATTCTAAAGAAAAATACCGCAGCCAAAGAAATTTTGGTATCTAAGAGTTGAATATTTTGTTGTCTTGCATTGCTTCTCCTTCTACCTAGAAGCTACAACTGAAATTATATTAAAACTACTCTAGTAAAATTTGATATGCCGGCGTACCGATATCTCGAGGTGGATACTTTACAAAACGTATGAATTTTTCTGGTGAACTAAATTTGACTGCGGGAATTTTTGTTATTTAAAAATAGTTGGACTTTATATTGCTATAAAAAATAGTATATATGGGTCATTCTTTTACAAACCGGACGGATTTTGGCAAAAAATGACCTCATGATCCCCGATTTGGCTGAAATTTTTTTTATGAGTTCCTTTTATAAAATAAGAAGACCCGTATCTCGGGAAAAAATTTTGTGATTTTTTTCCTAGGAGATATGGACCCATGGG